GACGCAGTCACCTTCACCCAAAGTTGCCAGGCTTGTCAAAAGCATGGACCGATCCGTCATCAGCCGTCCGAGTCGCTTCATCCGGTCCTCTCACCCTGGCCTTTTATGAAATGGGGAATGGACATCGTGGGAAAGCTGCCCGAAGCTCCAGGACAGAAGGTTTACATGTTGGCCATGACGGATTATTTCTCAAAATGGGTGGAAGCTGAGCCATTCCGTCAGGTACGTGACGAACAGGTAATATCTTTTATTAGACGTAATATACTTTGCAGGTTTGGCATTCCGTCGGAAATCGTGTGTGATAATGGGTCCCAGTTCATAAGTGCAAAAACCCGACGCTTCTGCGAAAGGTACAACATCAGGTTGGAGACGTCGACTCCTAGGTACCCGCAATCCAATGGACAAGCCGAGTCTAGCAACAAGATCATTGTGTCCAATTTGAAGAAAAGACTCGAGAAAGCACAAGGCAGATGGGCTGACGAGTTACCCCTGATATTGTGGGCTGACAGGACGACTCCAAAGAATGCAACCGGACAGACTCCTTTCTCCTTGGTGTATGGCTGTGAGGCGGTCATACCGGCAGAGGTTGAAGTGCCATCTTCAAGATACGGGCTTATGACTGAAGAATGGAACAACGTCGAGTTAATACACGATCTTGACACTATCGACGAAATTAGAGAGAAAGCTAAGATCCGTCTACAATCCTATCAGCAAATGGTGGCAAAGAGTTTTAACAAGAACGTTCGGGCAAAGGTGTTCAAGAAAGGAGATTGGGTTTTGAGAAGAGCGTTCGGGAATGAAGCAAGCGGGAAATTCAGCCCCAATTGGGAAGGTCCGTATCAGATCGTCGACATTATTGGACAGGGGGCATATCGCTTGGAATCAATCGACGGTAAACAGGTTCCTAGAAGCTGGAATGCGGTACACTTAAAACTTTTCCATTTTTGAATCTTTTTACATCTTATTTAATGATCCGATTAGAGCGAGTCACTAACTTAAGCATCGGAGGGCCGTTGGCTAAAAGCCAACGGCCAGACATAACAAAACTTTGAAATGCAGGAAGCCAAGTGAAGCGCCGGGTAAGACCCTTGGATACGTCATACAGCCTGATAAGGAACATGACATCTCGGGTATGACGGATCTGTCACAACAGCATGATTAGTTTGCTTGTCACTTTGAGGTTTGCCTTATCTTTCAAGCTGATCCTTGACGGATCAGTAGGTTTACTTTGGAAAATTTTCATATCAAAAATAAGTCTAAATGATTGGATTAAAATACGTTAGGGATAATTTAAATGATGTACCTCTAATCTTCCTTCGAAATGTTCTGCACTTGCTAACCTGGTAAGAACTTGGCTCACTTAAAGAGATGGTAGACAAGGAAGGACATGTCAAAGGTATGGTGTGTATTTCATTCTTGAAACACATGCATAATTGCTTACTGACTTAACCATCGGAGGGCCGTTGGCTCAACGCCGACGGCCAACTTTGACGGTTTGTAGTGAGTGCAGGGTCAACATGAGATAAGCGGCAAAGGACCAATTTACGAAGGATGGAAAGCATCAGTTACACCCTTCCCAATTGGGTATTGTACATCAACACGAAAAAGGGAAAGGGTTGGGCTGCCCATGAGAGTATCATGGATTACAGTCCCAACCGGCCCTTACAACATATATGTTTTTGGCCAAACTCAACATACATGACATCACATATATCTACAGCACTAGTGCACACACACAGGATACAAAAACAGGCACATCAAAGTTTTTCACACCAAGCATAGCGAAATGAAAGTCAAGCCTTGGATAAACCACCAAGTGCACAGGCTTAAAGAGTCAAAAGTACATCCCGTCCTGGATAAACCACCAGGACACCGGGAGCAAGATCAGAAATGTTTTGGCAAAAGTATTAGAAGGTACAGAGCAACCTAAGCATGTTGGGAGTCAGCCTCGCCATCAGACTGTCCTACGTCGAAGCCGTCGTCAGCAATGGGAGGATCCATGTCCTCTTGAACCTTTTTCCAAGTTGCAATATCCTCCTCAGCGTTCCAGCCAGACGACTCACCCGCAAGAAAGGAAGCCATAAGTTCTCCCCTCGTTTGCCAGACGTAGTAGCAAGCTGCGTCGGTGACTTCCTGCTTCTTTCTCCGACCATAAGCTTCCAGCACTTTAATCCTGTCGACAAGCCTTGAGATTTGAGCAGATTGAGCTGTCACTTCCTTTTGCAAATCCTGAGCTAACTTGGCACTGTCTTCCGCAAGAGAGCGAGAGAGCGATTCATTACGCTTAGACTCGTCAAGAGCTTTCTCCAGCAAAGCCACTTTCTCGGCAGCAACCAACCCAGCTTGCAAGCTCTGACAAGATCACACCATCACATCAGGAGACTGCTTACAAAATAGGAACTAAGAAAAGCTATGTTTACCTGAAAAGCATAGGCCGAGGATGCAGACAGTAATCCAGCTGGGGGCAAGCCTTTGAAAACATCTGGAGAGGAAGGAAGCATGAGCTTGTGTACTTCTCCTCTCATCAGGGATACGTCTCGTAGACTGCAAAAGTCAGGGGAAAGTGACATCTTCACATCCAGTGGCTTGAGGGCCGGAACAGTTTTGACCTCATAGGGACGAGGTAAGTTTGGTTTGGTTTCGATCACAACGGACAACTTGGGGAGCTTTTGAGGAGTGGAAGCCAATCTGGGAGAGGCTCTTTTCTTCTTGGAGGCCAGAGCAAGCAATTCGTGAGCAGATGGAGCCAAACGGGAGCTGGAAGAAGACGTAGCCGCTGCAGCAAAGCAACAACCAGAAGATGGAGTCAGGAAAAGCAATCACATTACATTGGGGCAGTTTTAATCAGAAGAGATTTCGATATTTACCCGTAGACACGGGTGGGCACTTGTTAGGGGCCGGCAGAGAAGCTTCACCCACCGGGAAGACGACCTGCATAGGGGTGAAGACGTCTGCGTTATCTCCTGCACCCGCCTTCGAAGTTTCCGATTCCTGGTCTGAATCCTCAATGGAGACTACAGATGAACCTCGAATCAGGTTAGGAGAAGCCTTCATATTGCGACCAGAACGCCTTAATCCGACGGGTCTATCAGGAGTTAGAGTGGGAGGCATACCTGGAGATTCAGCAACCAGGTTCGCAAACCAGCGGTCCTCTACAGGAATAGCCTGAATTCGCACTGTTCTCTCCTCTGATTTCGGTCCGAAGGGGATAGCTATTGTCTTCTTCTCTGAAGAATCAAGGTTTGCAATTGGTTAAGTAACTGTGATGGAGGCTCTTAACACATAAATAAAAAAAAAAAAAAAAAAAAGAAAAGGCATGTATACATATGTATGGACGTACTGAATTGAAGAAACAACAGAGTGCCGTTGGGAGAAGATGTTTTACCTTTGTGCAGGTTATCTTCAAGGAAGGACCCCTCAATACCGAGCGAATCCTTGAGGACGAAGAAGTACCCATGCATCCAACCTCTATCATTTGCCTTGTCAACCTTGTGGATGAGTCTTGGCCTCCTATCTCTCAAAGCCAGTGTAAATCTACCAGGTCCGGAGGTTCGGAGTTCATAGGTGAAGCCCAAGTCCTCGAACTCGAAGGGAATACCGTACTTTTCGCTCACAACCTCCAGTGCACGAAGAATCCTCCACACCTGAGGCATAATCTGAGAAGGCGATAGGTTCACAAACTCCAAGAAGCCCCGAGTCAGGGGAGAGAAGGGAAATCTCATCCCAATCTTGAAGGGGTAGTACAGGAAATTCACCCAACCAGGGCAAAACCAGTCCATACGCTCATTCGCCGCCGGAAAACGGATAGCCGCAGTAGGGGGAAAGCCGGCAGAAGTCTGAATAAGTTCTACTTGTTCCTCAGTAAGTTTTGCTTGTTTAGCACTTTTGGGTTCGAGGATGTATTGTGGAACGAAGCCTGGGGATGCCATGGGAGCTGACGGGGTGGTTGCAGAAGAAAGAAGAGAAAAGGGGTTTCGAAGAGGGAAGAAGAGTACGGCGAGTGATTCGGTGGAGATAATTACGAGAATGAGAAAGTAGTCGGCTACACAACTTCCAAGACGGTTTGGTTTCAAATTCGAAGTAGAAATTGGGCAGACGGTTCGTTTCTCTCAGCGCCAATTACTCCATCGAATTGGGGGCAATTGTTGGGCCAGGAAATTTCCGTCAAATGAAGAGGCCCAGCGGTGGATTTATGAATTAATGCATGCGGCCCATTTTCCAAGAAGTATAGACGAAGTCCAGTTCGGCCAGGATAAGATTGAATCAGACTTGGAGCAAAAGAAATGGCTTGACACGTTCAAATGCAATGCCGCCTATTTCGGTGGGCAGTTGAGGAGGAAGAGGCTCGAGAAAGCTTATTTAAGAAGAACAGTTTGTAAACATACATTCATTCGAACTAGATCACACTAATTGCTTTTGCTAAGAACAAAGCTTCGTTAAATTCTCATTCTTCCAAATTCCAATTCAGTATTTCATTCGTTTATTTTTCTTGATTACTTCTTGTGCGAATCCCCAACTCTTTATTTGATTGTTAAAGGAAATTGTTAATTTCTTGCTAAAACATTGTCACAGCTTCAATACCCTAAATAAACAACCAAATCATGAACAGGGTCAAGTTTGACTCAGATTGTTTGCTTCGTGTTGACGAATCTATGAAGATCCGTGTTGCTATTGCATTATATTAATGATTAATGATGCTAGGAAATACTGTCTCTTTAATTTCAGTTGTAAAAAGTAATCATTTTTCTTTGTAGACTTGAAAACGTGGAATGTAGAATTTCAGTAGGAAATACTGACTCAATCACTTTACTTTCGATTGAATCTACATGGAAAGTGAAAATGTGGAATTGAACTTGTGTTCAAACTGAGCTCTGGCTGTCTCTAAGTCTTAGTAGAGAGTGGTTTCAAATTTTTTCTGCTTAGTACACTGCATTGTCTGTTCCTGATGTACTTTACGTGCTTGTATAGAATGACTAGTCCCATGGATGTATTTATTATAGATTATGAAAGAAGATGACAGCAACTGGCCCGAACCTGACCGTGTGGGGAGGCAGGAGCTTGAAATTGTGCTGGAGAATGAGCACATATGTTTTACCACATCTAAGATTGGCTCCCTAATGGACGTGCAGACCAGTAAAGATCCAGAAGGCCTTCGCATATTTTATTATCTTGTTCAGGTAAAACACTAGTGATTTAGGGTCAGTTTGGATGGAGGTGTTAGAGTAGAAGAATTTGCAGGGATCTTTCAATTCTTATAAAATCTCAAACATATATCAGAATACAGATTAATTTATGGTGGTGCAGCTGTATGTGCAGGAAATGCTCACCAATTTTCATATAATGGATGTTTTTTACAGCTTTAATATATTCTTCAATACGTTGTAACTTGTAATTATGTTTTGTTGGCTTTTTGAAAGGATATGGTTCTCTGTGTTTTATTGGTTTTTTTTATACTTTGATGTTTTGTCAAATCAACAAAATGTAACATGGTTTTAATACAAACTTTAAAAGATTGATCATCACCTAAAGGAGTATAAAAGAATCCCTCATGCAATTTATCAGGTCTGGTGATATATTTTTGTATTCTAGTTATTGATGAAATGCATATAGTTTACTATCATTTTTACTAACACATCAAGACCTGACGTTTGATTATCAGTTCTGAATATTGAACATTAACTTTTAAGTCAAAGATACAATAACATTCTTCCGTTCTTCGTGTGTCATAAAGATAGTTACCTTATTTTTTGTTAGCTTCATCCCAGTCAATCTATAAAAACATATTGATGTTATAGTATCATTTTAATTTTAGGATGGTTTTACATGGACTGGTTTCACATGACAAGATCGTACATGAGCTGACTACATAATAACAGACTTGAACAGATCAGATTTAGATTAAAATAAACCTAACAGCAGGTCTTACTCCACCAATTTAGATCATAATAGGCGTAAACATACCAGATTAGGCGAGCTTTGGAAATTCTAGCCTAATTGAAAACATCATACGTACACATGCTTTCATTCATGACTTTTTAACCTTTGTTTTTTGCTATTTGTTGCAGGATCTAAAGTGCTTTGTGTTCTCTCTAATCTCCCTCCACTTTAAAATCAAACCCATATGATTTGATTCTATTGATGCTCTGGAAGGTTGACGTTTTTTATGTTTTTAACTCCAGTTCAACCGGAGTTAGAAGAAGCTAAAAAGGGCCTGTAATCTGGCAGTTTGAGCGGAATTGTTCTCAAAGAATCTAATTTCTTGTAGACTATCCGTATTTTATTGCACCTCTAGCCCATGGTTTTGATTGCTCAGCGAATGCTATAGTTTGTTTCTTGGGGATTTATTTGAAATTGGTTATGTGCTTGGGTTTTCAATCAGACTGAATAGAATCATCAAATATTTCGTATTGATATTCAAACTGTATGAAGATCTTATGAAGTGTGGATCTGTTAACCTCTGATGAAAGATCCTCAGTCTGAATTGTCATCCCCAAAACATTACATTTTTTTAAATGATGAGATTATGAGTTCAGGATTTATTTAGAACAGTAGAATCAAGATACAGTGCATTTCTTATAAAGAGCAGGAAGAAAACATTTGTGGACTTGGTGAGTATTTTTCATATACTGATTACAGTCTAAGCTCTTCAAGGTCGTTTATCTCCTTGGGAGGCTGAATTGTTTGGGATTAGAGAGGCTCTTAGCTGGATTGAGGAGCATGGATGGGAGTTTATTGATGTGAAATCCGATGCGGTGAGGGTTGTGACGGAGATTCAAAAGGGATCAAGCATTTCAGCAGCAGGCTTGATAGCAGAAGACATTCGTGATGTTTGTTTAAGGATGGCTTGATAGCAGAAGACATTCGTGATGTTTGTTTAAGGATTTCTGATGTTTCCTTTGGTCATGTTAGGTGATCTGCGAACAGGGTAGCTCTTGGGTTCACTCAGGCTGCCGGTTCTGAGTCTGGTTGCCGGTTTTGGACTTTTTGGTTATCCATTCCTCTTGATTTTATTGTTCATGTATTAAACAATGATTCAAAAAAAACTCGCAACTTAAAATAAGTAGCAAGAGAACATTTGTAGACTGAATGACTGATTATTTTACATTTGCATTGATGCCAATCTTTTCTCGCACTATAGTCATAGTATTAAATATGGAAAAGCTCACATTTGATTATTCATCTATCCCTTATATTGAAATTTGATCTATATATTTCAATTTTAACAATGTCATGATATCATCCCTTAATAATGAAACCAATTACTCCGTATAAGTTTAGTCCTTGTTGTTTATGCTGTTAATAGTAGATGAAATTTTGTTAATTTTTTTGTGAAATTATTGCTCTTTAATAATGCAACTGTGCAAGTGTGCAACATGTTACAAATATCGTCCCTCATTTTTACAACATACGTAGTATAATAAATATAGTTTGATCTCTATCGTTAATAATGGAAAGCCGGTGTTTGTTTAAGATTAAAGGGTCAAATAGGTCCCTGTTCGGAATGCTCAATTCGCATTCCGAACTCAAAAAAGTTCCAATTCACCCCCTGAACTCACCAAAAAAGTTCAAATCCCATTTTTTGCAGGTGAGTTTCCGGTCATTGCCACGTTAGCCGGTTAGATGCCAACCGTGCATCCCACGTGGAAATCTAAGGGGTCAAATAGACTCCTAAACCCGACAAACTTGTTCAATTTATCTCTTCAACCGTTAAAAAGTGTCCAAATTGCCATTAAAAAATAAAAAATAGAACATATAAATATTAATAATATACAAGTTCATAATATAAAATATATGAGTGTATTTATAATATGACAATAAATTATTTATATTTTAGGGTAAATTTAATATTTCAAATATTTATGAGTCTATTTATAATATGACAAAATATTAAAAAATTTAAAATTAAATTATAAAAAATGTATGGTTGATTTTTTTATATAGATTTAAAATATCAAAATATTTTTAATGAATTTGTTTTGTTTTGTTTTATGTGAATTTACTGCAAAAATATAAGGATATATTTATATTTACATTAAATTCATATAAAATAAACTAAAAGAAATTCATTATAATTATTTTCATATTTTTAATATGTTTTAGATTTATATGTAAAATTACACACACACATGCATATATGTATATATACTTCATATTATTTTATTCTAGAATCATATACTACGTACTATACTTCATACTAATTATATTTAACATAAAAATTTTGTACTATATAAAAATTATAATATGTAAATAGCTAGGGACTACTACATTTTTATAATATGTATTTAAAAAATAAGTACCTTCATTATGTTTGTATACATATATATACATATATATATATAGACTTATTATAAAAACAAACTTATTATATTATAAATAGACATCTATGTTTTATATTATGAACTCGTATATCATGTTATTTTTATTTTTTCTCTATTTTTTAATTTCATATTTTTAATAGCAATTTGGACACTTTTCGACGATTGAGGGGGTAAATTGAACAACTTTGTCGGGTTCAGGGGTCTATTTGACCCCTTAGATTTCCATGTGGGATGCACAGTTGGCATCTAACCGGCTGACGTGGCAATGACCGGAATTTTACCTGCAAAAAATGGGATTTGAACTTTTTTGGAGAGTTCAGGGGTGAAATGGAGCTTTTTTTAGTTCGGGGTGCTAATTGAGCATTCCGAACAGGTACAGGGGCCTATTGGACCCTTTAGCTTTTGTTTAATAAAGGCATTAACTATTATTAAGGGATCATGCTTATAAAGACTAGATTTTCACCCGTGCTTCGCGCGAGATGCAGTTAATAAAGTTTAGATTAGTTTTGAATATATAAAAATGTTGTTACAACGATAGAACAATGCATCTATTGTTTTTATTAACAATAAGTAAATGAAGATAGAAAATAATAAATTATTATATGTGGAGTACTTCCTTGTTAACAACATTTAAAGTCTTCTTTACCAGTTTTCTGTCATCATCACATATAATAAAGTTCAATCCTAACGGGGACATTACTCTTGAGATCGCGACGTAAAATTGTTCATGAGTGAAACACGGACGATGTATGAAATCACCAACCATCTCCAAAGGTTAACATCAAAGAAAACTGTCTACATTGAAATGTGAACAACTTTAGATCAGATGGAGACAAGCTAAATTACAGAATAAGAAACTTTTATCCTGCACTTTTTCCTGAGGAAATATTGGAAAGTATTTAAAATAAAATTAGAAGTGCATTAATATAAGAAAATATTTAAAATAAGTTTTTATTCAAAATCTCTACTTCCAAACTATGTGTAATCATTAATTTTATATTTCTAAGATTGTGATTACTCGTAATTGTAGGATTAATTTGTCTAATTTGTGTTTAATTGCGCATAGACATTAAGAAGCTAAAAATGTTCAACTAACATATTTATGTATATATATAGATTTAAGAGTATAACTATAGGAAAGTTAAGGTATATTTCTTAATTTAAAGGTATATTCTAAAACTACAATTAGAATTAATATAATAAATATATAGATCAAATAAGAACAATCACAGAAACGTTAATCAGTTTGAAGTGGATGAAATTGTAAGAAAATACTAAATATATCTCAAATATAAGAAAATATTAAAGTAATTATAACAATATTTTTTTAATGGAAGCAAATTCAATACTATTGAAACTCAACTTTTAGTATTTTGATTAAATAATGTCATACACTCTTATCCACTTATGTAAGTAAATGAAGATATGATAAATTCCGTTTGTAGTTTAATTTAAAGTTAATTTCATACTATCATGTATGTAACACCGTCCCCAATTATATTTACTTTTGAGTAATTAATGTATTGAACCTTATGGAATAGTTAATGAATTTACGAAGTTGTAAATTTTTATTAATTCTTCCGCGTGAGTAGTAAATTTACACGTGGGGCCCACACTAGGAGCGGAGACCGCCCGATATTCACGAGACCACATATTTTATTCTTATTGATCGAGATAATATCTATATAGTGGGGGATATGTTATTTGGGCCAAGGAAAGAGCATAATGTTGACCGATTGGTCAAACTAGGCCCAATTACCGGTATTGGTAATTTAACAGTTAATAGCCCAAAATGAATTTCGGAGACTTGTAAATTAAAGTTGGGGAATGTATATTCATTATAAGGACCATAATGATGGAGAGCATGTAATATATTTTATTTGACCCGATAAAATAAAATATATTTAAAACAGTACGAAAAATACAACTTTCGGGACCGAATGTACATTTTGGGACACAAAGGTCCCACATGAGTGGGGGCAACCCCACATTTTTGTGTGATGAATTAGACAAGGGAAGGTCTGGTTGACTTGGAATGAAAGAGGGGTGAGGTGATGAGCATCAAAGGTACACCCATGGGTCCTTTTTCCTCACTTATTGTCCAAACAAGACAAAAGAGCCAACTCCAACTCCCCCTCACTCATTAGTTCGGCCAAGGCACACCAAGAGAGGAAGATAACCTCTTCAAACTCATCTTCCATAGCCCAAATTCGAACTCAACCTAAGGTGTTCCAAGGAGGAAGATTAAAGAAGGAAAAAGCTAGGAGAAAGTGTGGAAATTAAGGTAATGACCTTATCATATCTTTTCCTTTATTTTTCTTCTATCATATGGGATACATATCATATGAAGAACCGTTAGGATTGTTCTACATGATATAGAGTGTGGATTAATGAGTTGGAAAGTGGTTATATGTCCAAGTACGGACTTAGAGGCCAAAATGACCAGTTCGTCGGAAAATAACATTTTTGAGGTTATTTGTATTAATATGGGTTTTATGATTATAAAACCTTGTTAGGAACTTGTATAAGGTATTTCAAGAGCTTTCACGGAGTTGAAAGAGTTGCCGGAGTTCATCAAAAGTCGCCGGAGTTTCGCCGAAGTTCAACCAAGAAGGGTAGAACTTCATAATGCTAATTCGAGGTGAGGATGACCGACTATATTGCTTATAATTATTGGGTTAATTTCATAAGATTTCCTAAATGAATAAAATGTGATTTTCATGGATTATTAATGGTTAATAATGCCTAAATGAAATTACTATTGATTATAAGTATAGTATGCATAATATACAAATTTATGAATAAATTGTGTATGTTTATGTGTTATAAATATGATGGTATGATAGTTGTATTAACCATGAATTTTATTTGTGATAAATATACTTTTATTTCATGAGAAGAAGTCATGAAAGCATATAAGTGATATTTTGATAGTAAGGCCAAATTACACATGGATGAGGAATTAAATTGAAACGAACAAACGACTAGTATTGAAATACTAATCGGAATTGTTAGTTGAATAATTGATGGAACTAGTCCTAAGAAATTGAATTGTAAAGAATCGGTGATTATGAGCTGGGCTCTATAGATAATCGGTGATTACGAGATGGGCTCTAGACCGATGTAGGTAATCGGTGATTACGAGCTAGGCTCTAGACCGATGTAGATAACAGTGATTATGAGCTGAGCTCTAGACCGATGTAGATAACGGTGAGCGCTCTAGACCGATGTAGATAACGGTGATTATGAGTTGGGCTCTAGACCGATGCAGATAACGGTGATTATGAGCTGGGCTCTAGACCGAAGTAGATAACGGTGATTATGAGTTGGGCTCTAGACCGAGGTACATAACTGTAACACCCCGATTTTTTTTTGTGAGCTAGTTACTTAAAGTTATTTTCTTTAGTCAGTTGAATAAGTTTATTTTATGAATAATGTGATTCATTATTTGATCATGTGTTGTTTGGCAGGTAACGTTGACCGGTAAGCTCTAATAATAATAAGTGAAGAAATAAGTAATGTTATAAAGCTTAATCAGTTTATTTTGAAAAGAAAAACATTTTTTTACTCGGGCTGAAGCAACTATTTTAGAGGTAATATCAGATCCAAATGAGTTATTTTAGCCCAAATAAATCTCAATTACATGAAATCCCCAGAGAAGCCACGCACGCATCCTTTCTTTCGCAATAGTCGCACTCCTCTATGATTTTGTTCTAGAAGAATTTCTCTTCTTCAACTCATCAATCAAAGCTACTCCCGATTTTAGTGACAACTTGAAACCA